TTAGTTAGCAAGTTACACTTGGGTGATGATTTATACTTTTATTCATGCTTAGCCAAATCTGTGACACAGCTCATGGTTAGACAGGTGTTTGTTCTTCCATCTTTTAGTCTTGATCAGCTTTAAAACACATTTCAGTGCTGATTTCAATAAATATTTTATAGAAATGTTAAAATATAACTATAAATATTTGCGTTAATTTCCGAAATATACCAGCATCTTAGCAGAGAAAATAAATCTAGTTAATCACTTGTAGTATGTTCCCTTCCCCGATGCTTAAGCTTCAGAAGTAAAAGCCCCTTATTTGTCTTCTAATTTATTTCTTTTAGATATGTCATCCCATGCCACACCAAGGCTGCTCATTTTGATATAGATTGGGGTAAGGAAGATGATTCCAATCTGTTAATAGGCATCTATGAATATGGTTACGGCAGGTGGGAAATGATAAAAATGGATCCTGATCTCAGTTTGACACAGAAGGTATGTCATCTATAACATTCTATCACGGACTCTTTGTTTAGGTAATAATGCTACTAAGAACAGTTTGAAAGAGCTTATTTTATGATAACTGAAATTGCAGAGACATTATAAGTCAGTTGTACTTCTTAAGTATGTTTCTGGTGGTGTATTATTAGATTTTAAGGTTTTGTGTGTTCAGTTGAAGTATGCCTTCTTGCAGTCAATTATGTTGCCATATTTCCATGTAATTGGACCTCTGTCATTTAAATTTTTCTTTTCAGTCTTCTCCTTCTCTATTTTAGAAGTTCTTGTTTTGTCCATTTTGTGTTCTTGAACTTTTGGAAGGGAGGTTTTTCTAGAGGTTTGATTTGGTTTCCCCATCCCCACGTAATCCCCAGGTTCTTCACTTGAAGCTGTCTTTTGCTCCCAACGTAAGAGTAGCTGTGCCAGAATTAGTGCAGTAGCTCCTTAGCAATAGTGAGCAACAGGTATTGAGGGAAAGACTGGGATGCGGTAAACTTCGTGACAGTGCCAACAACCTATAATTATGGGATTTGAGGAGCCAGGGTTCTGTCCAAATTTGTTTAATAATGGTTTCTACTCCTGCTTTCCATTAATTTGCCAGGGTTTTGAAAGCACCCATTTATATTTTGGGCATCTGCAATACGCTATAGTGAGTTCTGCATTTAAAAGATGAATGAGGCAGAGCCAGAAGTTCTGTGGATGACTGGGATAGTTTATCTAAGAAATTCTGTGCTCCTATCGGAGTGGAAACAGAAATCTGAGACTGGTTTCTTGAGTTTCATTTAATCTGTGAGACTGTTTCCAAGACTGCATTGGCTGTGTGATTGGAGAGAAACTAAAAGGTTTAAGAAATTCTCCATTGCTTCAAGTGTGCTGGCATATTTGCTAGGTATAGTTGAAGTGGATTGTCTTCCACATTCTTTTACACAGCTTTTTCTGTTCTGCATGCTCCAGGCTAGCATCTTCCAAACTTGATAATATGTACTTACAGCTGTGATTTTGATTTCTTCTCAGATTTTGCCTGATGATCCAGATAAGAAACCCCAGGCGAAGCAGTTACAGACCCGTGCAGACTACCTCATTAAATTACTGAATAAAGACCTTGCAAGGAAGGAAGCACAAAGGCTTGCTGGTGCAGTAAGTAAAATTTGGCATTCATTAGTGAGATAAAACAACATGCTTATGGGCGTGGTAGCTGATCCTTTTATTCTTTTTTCAGTTTTGCTCTTTTTCTTTGTGTAGTATTACTCTGTATTGCTAATCATATTACATGAGATAAACTCAAGAAATTAATTGTGAGTTTCATATTGTATTATTCTCTTAATACTTGTAAGCATTCTCTACTGTTGCACTATGCTCTGTCTCCAGTCCTGAGGAAAGTAGTGGTCATTAGTGGCAATATACAAAATGAACCCTCTATTTGATATAAAAACAAATCTTTTTTTGCAACTGTGGTGCAAAGCTGCTTATCCATTGACATTAAAGAGACCAATTTGCATTCAGGGCAATTCAAAGAGGAGGAAAACAAGAACCAAGAAGAATAAGGTGATAAAGGCTGCAAAAATAAAAGAAGAAATAAAAAGTGATTCTTCACCACAACCCTCGGAAAAATCTGATGAAGATGATGATGAGGATAACAAGGTAAATGTCCTTCATATGGTAATGATGGCTATTCAATTCTTCCTATTGGTGTTGATTTCTATTTTATCTTCTGCTTGACTTTATAAAATCGAAGCACCTGAATGTCGTCCTTTTCCTGTGGCCACTAACAATAGATGCTGCATCAGTACAAGCACACAGAAGATGGGATCTATTTTAACTTAATGATAATCTAGTAGCTGAGGAATTATGAGTAGTTTTCCAAACTATATTATAAAAGAATGTTGTGGTCTAATTACAAGTGGCATTGCTCAGTTTCAGCATTCTTTGAAGACTTCAGCATTGTATCTGCTAGAATTACAAACCTAAAACAAATAAGCCACAATTATAAAACTAATGTTTCTGACTAATGTGTTATAACTACAGATAGTGAGTCTTCGAGTAAAATTTTTTAATTCAGGATCAGGAAAAAACAATCAAGCTCAATTAGAATGAGCAGCATGACTAAATGATATTTCAGGACTTGTATATGAAAGCTCTTGTATACATCATGGCTTTCATTATCCAAAACAACCATTTAACCAACTATTTAACCTTGTTGTGTTCTGTTACTTCCGATGTGTTCCTTTAGGCCTGTGCTTTTGTTGGGTTTTTTTATTTATTACACAGCAGAAACCACTAGAGAGAAAAATTTGGATTAAGTTTAGGGTCATGTCAAAGATAATTTTACGACTTTGAGAGTAGTTGAAATACATCAGTGAAAATCTATATGTATCATAAAAATACTTCATACTTGTTATAAAATAAACTACATCGAAGTGTCTATTTTAACTGTAATTGTCAACTTGCTCTAGAGGAAAAAATACTTATGTGAATACATAGTTAAAACTGAGTCAGCCTTAGAAGAACCATGATACATCTATAAAAAGTAGTCATTTTTAACTAAAGTATTCCTGTATGAATTTAAATTGTACTATGAAGAAAAAAATGTAAAGCCATAAAAAAACCCACCTTGAATGTAGACTGGCTTATGTTTATAGAAACAATCATTTGTCTGTAATGTAAGACTAAGAAATGTGTTGTAACAGTTCACCATAAGTTAACGTGGGCACTGAATCCTAAAGCTACGCAAATTAAGTGTTCAGTCTACTTAAAAAATGAGTTGTTAGACTTCATCTCCACTCAAAACAGAAGACACTGCCAGTAAGTTGATTGATTTGTTACATTTTTGGAAAGTGCCTAAAATGCTGTCCCATTTTGTATATTAATAACATATATTAATCACTTTAATTTTGGACACAAACTAACAACTACACTTCTGAAAACTGGACTATATACAAGAATGGGCTTTAACCACCTAAACGGTTGGCTCTTTACACAGCTGCCATACTGTGTGCAATATTTAAAACTTACCTGTAATTGCTAGAACATTCAGGAAACTCTTGAAGCCATTGGATTTTTGGTGGGAAGTTTCCATGATACCTAAATACTTCAAGTCCTGGTTGGGCTGATTACTTAGATGAGCTATCATCAAGTAATTTGTTCGGATTATGTATTTGGCATTCTTTACACTGTTTTTCTGCAGTGGATTCTATATATGCCTTTCCAGGGTGTACTCAGATAAATTCAAAGATAATAATGATTCTTGCATCTGTTTACGATACTTGTTACTTATTATAGTATTTTTCTGTATCTGAAAGGATTTGAGTTTCCATCTCAAACCTTGTAAGTGACTATTATAAAGACCAGTGGAGTGGTATTTTGTTCATCTTCAAATAATTAAATGGACCCCTATCAGGCAATCTGTAACTAAGACTTTTTTTAAGCCTAGTGAAAAGAACATCTGAGAAAGAGAAAGCTGAGACTCTGTTACCTTCACCTGTGAGTGTGTAATATGGGATTGGTAAAAAGTTACTGAGATGAAAGCTAACTAGAATAGAGGTCTTCTAACATCCCTATAACTTGAGTGTCTTGACCAATCAGCTCAGTTTTGCGAGACGTACTTCCTTACAGTTTTTAGCTTTTCAGACCATAACTACCTTTTAGAGGGACAGAATTTTAAGTTAGTTCTAAGTTAAACGGATGTAATTTCTCACCCCCACTACCACTGCCAAATCAGTGCTTGCTTTGTCACATCAAGGAAGTAAGTGAGTAGTCCTCATCTTTCTTTACAACTGCATTCAGTTCTATTTAATAGGTGTTAAACCTATGTCCAAAAATAAAAAAATGCACAGATAAAAAGTATGTTTTAGTCTAATAGTTACAAAACTTGTATAGATAGGAACTCGGTTTGATGTGACATATATGCTTGCGTATTACAGGATGAGATTGTTTCAATGAAAAATCCACCTAAAAAAAATAAAGCAGAAAAAGAAAATGAAGAAAAGCCTGAGCCAGATACTGGTATAAAGAAGGAAGCTGAAGAAAAAAGAGATACAAAAGAAAAGGAAAATAAGAGGGATTTGAAAAGGGAGAAAAAAGAAAAAGAGGATAAGAAAGAATTAAAAGAAAAAGATATTAAAGAAAAGAGAGAAAACAAAGTAAAAGAATCCACACAGAAAGAAAAAGAAGTAAAGGAAGAGAAGGTAACTAGGTTTACTTATCTTATATAGCACTAGAAAAGGCCACTAGGTTTATGTGAACAATTTTGAGATGAAAAGGTATTTTGGATCTCATCAGTTGTCATTTCACTGAAGTCTTTTACATAATTTGAAGTTTTATTTTTACTACCTGGAATCATGAGGACAGGCATTTGAAATTAGAATTTACATCTTCAATGTTACATATCTTAGTAGGACTGAGAGTACAAGTGTGTGGAAGAAATTCTTTTATTCCTTTTCCATTCTCCTTTTCTGTCTCACAGAGGAAGTAAAATGTACAGTCATTGAATGTGACCATAAGCTTATTCTTATTATTGAAGAGAATGAAGTAGTTATGGGGATTGTCATATATTATAGTATACTTCCAGAGACAAAATAAAATTCACTTAAATATTTTTATATTTTATTCTTAGGTAAATGAAATCAAAGCTGAAAATAAAGAAAAAACTAAAAAAATTCCATTGTTGGATACTCCAGTTCATATTACTGCAACTAGTGAACCAGTTCCTATATCGGAAGAATCTGAAGAACTGGATCAGAAAACTTTCAGTGTAGTAAGTCCTGGTTTGATCAGTTAGTGTTTATACTTGATAGTCTAAATGAGGACAATTTCTGATGTTCTTGATTCTATTATTGGGTACAGTAACACAGGTGATCTTTTGCTATTAAAGTCTCAGATCAATGAATGTTACTGATGCTGTACTAAAGTAATTTTTGTCTTCATTCCAGCAGGGTGGGTTTTCTTTTTGTCTGTTTACTTATGCAGGATAGTAGGAAGATTTATCCAGTGGTCTATGTGCTGAATAGATTTACAATCTAGGCTGTAAAGATACATTCTCAAGAATAATTTATGTATCCTGCTTCTTAAAGATCAGATATGAGTGAACTCCAGTGCAATTGCTGGAGTCTCTGGCTTTGCCTTACCATGTATGCCTTTCTTCTTTGTAAGAAAACGAGAAATTATGTTTCAGCACTTCTCTCTTGAAGTATTGCAGACTTAAATTGTAGACACATGAAGAAACAAATGCTAAAGCCCTTGGAAATACCTTGCTGGAGTATTGTCTCTGACGCCAAATAATTTTGTTTAATCACTACTTCTGACTAAGAACAGAAACGATATTGGAGGAAAAAAGGCACATAACTACAATTTATGTAAAGTTTTATAGGTCGGCTGGGGCATTTGGAAAGGTATCAGTAAGTTACTTCAGGCAGCTACTCTCCTGTGGGTGTTTAGTCATTTAGATTTAACAGTTGTTTGTTTCTGCCAGCCAGGTTTATTGGGTCTGTTGTGTGTGCTGGGTGTAACATAAAAATAGGATTCTCTTGAGTATGGCAGTGACTGGTCTATGCATGGTTTTATTCTAAACATTCCAAGTAACTCACCTGTGATTTCTAGAATGAGCCTCTAGTAATTCAGGTGGATAAGTTTGTGTGGTTAAGCGACAGAAAATTCCTTGATTTCCATGTATAGTTATATTTTTCTGATCACTTTATATTTAAGCAGTGCATTTTGTATGCTGTCTTTTAAAGTCTACTTTAAGCTGTGGCTAGTGCAATATGTAACACAGCTACTTAATTAGTCAGCTGGCAGTGGAACAGCTTCCCTGGTTTTTCTGAGTTGTCCCTAGATGCTTACAATGGTAATGGTGATATTCCATTTAATTCCATTCCAAACATGTGGATTTTCAAAAACCTTTTTTTTTTTCAATCTACAAACTGCCTTTTGTTCTTACTAGGAATAATTGTAGGTTGGGTCTGTGTATAAAAAAAACTTTTTTTTTTTTAATTATCCAGGCTTTTTGTTCTGGAATCTATGTTTATCATTATGCCATGGTCAGATTCAGTCTAATTAGTGTATTTAACTACACTTTCAAATGGAAATTATGACTGTGTGTTGTTCAGGCTTAACTAATTTGGCTCTTTGTGACAAGAATATGAATTTCATCTGTTTATTGTGCCACTGTAGTTGGATGGTATTCCTAAACAAGTGTCTGTAGTTTAAATCATACTAACTGGTTTTATCTGGATTTACTATTAAAACATTTTCATCAAAGTGTGAAAATTCAAGAATGTACATACAATATGTGTCTGTGTTGCCATCACTGTTGTTACTAATCTAGACATACTCAAAATAGCTTTACTCTGGATAGTGCAAGTTCTGTTAGTATCTGCATAGGACTGAGGTTTAAAAACTGCTTAGAGAAGCAATGTTGATCCTCTGCTGAATACCAGATTTAATGGTTGCAGAAAGTATTTTTTTAAATGTACTGAACAGTCTCATTTAATTTTGACATTGAATTAGTATAACTTTAAAGGTGCTAAAAAGTTCAAGTCTTGTCCTATATGCTTGTGCTGAAAGTTACAACTGTGATTGTAAAATCAGTTGTAATAGTCCTTTTCCTCAGAAAATCCCTTCTATTAAATTAGTGCTTTCTTAAATCCGTGATATCTGTATTTTATACCATCTAGTGCTTTCACAGGGGAGTAAATTTCCAACTGGGTTTAAAATACAACTTTTTCCAGAGGACCTGCAAAACATTTTAAGAGATGTGAGCAAGTCTTGTGTTTCATTTCGCTTGTAACAATACTGTATTTGCCTCTCTGTATATATCTCAGTAAATAGTGGGTCATGTTTTAGAATTCTTTTTTTTCCCTTTGAATTAATACATTTCTGTTTTCCACTTCACAGTGCAAAGAAAGAATGAGGCCTGTCAAAGCAGCATTGAAGCAACTGGATCGACCAGAGAAAGGCCTTTCTGAAAGAGAGCAACTGGAACATACTAGACAGTGTCTAATCAAAATTGGGGATCACATTACTGAATGTCTAAAGGAGTACACAAATCCTGAACAAATTAAACAGTGGAGAAAGTAAGTTACTCTTTGTGGTTTTTCATGAAAAAAAGGAAAATCTATAATTATTTCTATTAAGCAGAATAGTTTTTAATTATTTCTCTTGTTTCTTATTCTCCCTTTCCTATATCTTCTGCTGTTTTACAATGGAATATATAAAAAGATTATTGTAGATGGTTCTGACTTTTAATGGATTGACTTTTTCATACACACATACTTTTTCATACATACAGTATGAAAAGCTATACAAGCCATGCATTTTGTCCAACAGGTGGAGTTATCTCACTTCTTACAACCAAAAGCAAACACTAGTTAACTTGTTACTTAGATTGTGTCTAGTGGAAAAGCATTCTTATCACTAAGAGTCTGTTTTTTCCAACTGTGACTTTTTTTTGTAATTCCTGCTAAAAATAGGCAATTCTAAATTTGTGTTGAACTTTGTATGATTTTGAGTTGCAGAATTCTTAGTTCTTTTTAAAATATGCTCTAAAATTAAATTATATATTACATATTAACTATGACTATAAAAATATTTATCGTAACTTACTCAGATGTATTTCAAAAATGAAAGAAGTTTAGAAGTTTGCATCTTTATGAGCTGACAATTTAAAAAAACAATTGTTGGTTTGTAAACTTCTTATATTTCATTGTTAAGTTCTTAATGCAATTTGAGTTACCTTTATCAAAATGTGCACTTTAATCTTTTAGAGTTGAAAATATATTCTGCACTTCCATATACAAAAGTCTGGTACATGTTTCATTTTCTTGAAAACTTCAGTTAGTGTAGAATGATTCTGCTGTTTTTACCTGTTTTACTTCAAAATATTAGGCTGATCTGAGGTAGAAAAACAAGATCCATGTGTTACATTTACCAAAATGTTACATTTCTTTAACTGGAAAGTTGTATAAAGCTATTATTCAAAATGCTACAATATTATATGTAGATTAATAAAATATGTATATCACTATCTTTGATAAGAAGATGTGTACTTGAGCTATATGAAGTTATACAGGTGTCACTAGGGATACCATTGACTGGTTGTCTACTTTTGCAAAGTAGTGTTTAATCACAGTGAATGGAGCAGACTGTTACTTCTGGAGCCTGCATACTTCAGACAGTACTGAACACTAGTATTCTGTAGTCTTGTAAACATTCCACTTGTAAATTTGACTAAAGGAATTCTAGACTTCAGGTATGTTAGCTGTGACCATAGAAGCAAATGTTTTCTTCAGGGTTTTGGCATCTTGACAGTAAAAGATTGTTCTTCTTTCATTCCTTCGAGCACAGATTAGGCACAAATTCATTGCCATGCCACTTCCATCCTCTTTTAACAGTTCTCATCTGGTTTCAAAAGCTTTGACCAGGCTTTGGAATTCTGTGGAAAAATTCTCTCATTGATATTTTCATGAAATAAGGCTTGTAGGTCAAATGTCTTACACTGTAAGAGTTTTCAAGTTTGGAAGAATTTTTACGTACTTTACTTACCTAAATTTTTGTTTACTGAGTGTATTCAATACTTAAAATTGAAATTTTCAGAAGACACATAAACAGATAGCTACATTTTTAAGCAGTTTCAAAAATCATTCTGTTAACACAGTTGTTATTAGTACTACTTTCCATGCACTTTGCAGTCTGAAGTACTTATGATAAGTATTACAATGTGACAAATTGTTAAAGGAATTAATCTTTTAAATGTTTGAAATACAGCTAGGTAATGTTTGCTGTGTAGCTAAGTAACTGTGAATTTTATAGTGTTTCTGGTTTACTGAAGTACTGTTCAAATAATTTCAGTTAAATCCATGTTCTGTTGCATAACACAACAAAAATAAATTTATAGAAGAATTATAACTTCTCCTTTCTTCCTCAGAAATTTGTGGATATTTGTCTCTAAGTTTACAGAATTTGATGCCAGAAAACTGCACAAACTGTATAAACATGCAATCAAAAAACGCCAAGAATCTCAGGTAATATTTTCAGACCCTTTCTAAAATACACAAATTTTTTTTTTTTTAAGTGTTACAGCTCTTTTATTAGACTTAAAGGATTATAAGGAACACAGTAGCATTTGTATTTGCAATAAAGTAGTTTCTTTTGTTAGGATATTTTTCTAATGAATTCAGATGAACTTTTAGATTTGGCAGTGAGTTCTTTTACTTGTGTCTTTTAGCAACACAATGACCAGAATATTAGCAGCAGTGTGAATGCACATGTAATTAGAAATCCAGGTAAGAAACCTTAAGTATATTCTCATGTTAGATCTCTTGGTTTTCATGTTTATTTCATTTTACATGTCTCCTAAATCTGTCTCCCACACTGCTAAGTATCCTAGAGATAGGCTGATTAACAAAACTTTACTAGTTTGCTGATGAAGTCCAGCTGAGTGCAGACTGAAGCTCATACTTAACTTATTTTAGTAGTAACTTATTTGATCATCCTTTACAAAAATTTTTGAAACATTTTTTGTGTTTAATTTTGGGGAGAGAGGTCTACTCAAAATCTGTTAATTTCTTGGAAATTCTATGCCAATTTGTAGCTGTTGTAATGTCACTACTGTGTAAGAAAGCAAGCTACTCCTTGAAGTCATAGTTTATAATCAGTTACATGGGCTGTCTTTTTATTGTTGACAGTAGCACTGATTTTCCTATGTTCCCACACCTGCCGCCTTGTAATACTTGCTTTTATCTTGTGTTTTGTAGCACTTTGAGTATGTTTGCATAGATTTAATATAATGTATTTTAGGAATACCACTGAAAGTCTTTTCTTTAAAGGTGTACCTTTAAAACTTTTATGTGTGCTAAGGCCTTCCCTTCTTAGTTGCTACCATTCTAAAATTGCTGTACTAAAGGCACCTCTTCTCACTGCTCATTTGGATGACACTTCATAGACTGATTGGAGAGGTCAAAGACTGATTGGAAAGCTTCACTTTCCGAGTCCTACACATCTACATTCTAGCTTGGTTCCCTCTTACTTCTGAGGTTTCTTTCAGTTCACTAGCATTAGTGTATTTGTCTTTCAGCTTTTTAGATCTTGTTTCTGTCAAATTATAATGTCATTTTCACAGTGCTCTACATCTGACAGGTAGAAGTGCTGTTTGAATCAGGTGAAGAAAAGACTTTGAGACTTTTAACCTCTGCTTTATTAAACAGATGTGGAAAGACTGAAGGAGAATACAAACCATGATGACAGTAGCAGGGACAGTTACTCTTCTGATAGACATTTGTCACAATATCATGATCATCATAAAGACAGGCATCAGGGAGATGCTTACAAGAAAAGTGACTCTAGGAAAAGGCCCTATTCAGCCTTCAGCAATGGAAAAGATCACAGAGACTGGGATCAATACAAACAAGACAGCAGGTGAGTTTCTTCAGCAATTTTAAAATTTGCTCCAAATTCCCTTCCTGTTTTTGTAGTGTGTTTGTAGCAAGCACCAAAACATCTCTTTTGAGTAATGCAAAATTGCAATGACGATATTTCTCTAATGCAATTCTATTGATTTGACATAATTGTCGCTCTTAATATGTGTTCAGTAATACTAATACAAATGACTTCTGTTTTTTAGATACTACAGTGATAGTAAACACAGAAAATTAGATGACTACAGGAGCAGAGACCACAGGTCAAACCTGGAAGGAAGTTTAAAGGACAGCCGGGCTCATTCAGATCACCGTTCCCATTCAGACCACAGGATACATTCAGATCACCGTTCCACTTCAGAGTACAGCCATCATAAATCTTCTAGAGATCATAGATATCACTCAGACTGGCAAATGGACCACAGAGCTTCAGGTAGTGGCCCAAGGTCACCATTAGATCAGAGGTCTCCTTATGGTTCAAGATCTCCCCTAGGACACAGATCTCCATTTGAACACTCATCAGATCACAAAAGTACACCTGAACATACATGGAGTAGTCGGAAAACATAACAAAGACTGACACTTTCTGGACCTTCTTCTAGCCATATACAGTAAACTAACACAGTAATTGCCTTACATGACTTGAAAGATACAGACTGGATATTCTATGAGTAGCAGTATTGTTACTTCTTTCCAGGATGCAAGGTCTATTATCCCAACAGAAGAAAAATATTTTTGTATTTAATGTTTATGCTGCACTGTGCTGCTAATGTTGTGGCACTCTTTTTTTAAGAAATGGAAGATGTTTACTTTTACAGGGACCTCAACACTGCCCCCTTTAGACTGGATCTTACTATAAAAATTCATGTCAAAGTGGTTTTAGGCTGAACACATTTTAAATTATGTTTATAAATGAACTTTTAAACACTGACCTGTACTCATATTTCAGGAAGGAATGAGGAGTTTATTTTCTTTTGTTTCCTAGTAAAGAACTATCAAGGACTTTGTTCACTTTCCAAAGCTACTTGTTTACATTGTACACTGCGACCACCTTGCCGCTTTTCATCACAAGCTTGAATATTTAAATTCTGTACCTTTAACTGTAAAATAGCCAGGGTTTCTCCTGTTTGTGATCAGTTATAATGCCTTTTTACAAACAAACAAAATAAATAAAAATAAATGCAAACAAATGGCTGTAAATTATTGTAAATTAATTAAATGAGCTTTTTTCCCCTCTCAGGCTTTTTTTGACTGTTCCTTTCCCCAACCAACTCAGGCCTTCTTGTCACAAGTATGAAACAAAATCAGTGTACTTACATGTTTTTTATCTTGATGGAATCACTGTTCAAAATGTAAAAATGGGGAAAGAGAACACTTTATTCCATTTAGTGCTATTTTTATTTGATGCTTTAGATACATGTTTGGGGGTGGTTTGGGGTTTTGTTTGTGGGGTTTTTTTTTGTTTTGGGGGGTTTTTTGCCAGTTAAACTATCAGTGTTGTGATTGTTTGTAATGACATGGTAAGAAATATCCAGCTAAACTGTGCTCTGGAAAGCTTTTCAGGTGCATTGGTTTTAAAGAAGTGTTAAATATCTGAACACTTCAGAATCCAAATCAGCCAAAATTTATTGTAAATCCATTTGTGTTCCCTCTTCAATATGGGCAATAATGTCAAATGTGCTATGCAGCCAGTTAATATTCTAGAAGATTTGAATGACTTTATTGACAGAATTGTTACAATGCACACTGATTGTACATAGACAACTTCTATCTGACAAATTAAATTTAAACTCAAAGGATATGTGGGCTCCTGTAGTTTTCTGCTGTGTTTTTCTCCATGGTGTTACTTTGTCTCAGGTTTACCCATAAAAACATTAAACTCTTATGCACTAAATTTTAAAACACAATGTGATAATTAAGGAAGATATCTAGCCTGGCATGTGGTTGGAGCTATATCTGTTGCTCCAGTTTTGCTCCACTCTTGCTATGTTAAGCATTTTTTCCAATTAAACAGGTTTATATGAAAGCATGAATATAGAAAAAAAATCTGTCCCCAGAGTATCTGTTAGGATCTCACTGTAGGCACAATTGCTGCACATTAAGTTTTACGCTTATTTAATGTAGGCTGGGACTCAGTTAATTAATGCTGCTTCATTTCTTAACTCTTCATTGTCCCAGGGCCTGGAGGGTTTTGAGTTCTGCTTTTGAACTCAATTGCTGAAGCAGTGTTTAGGCAGTGGAGTGCTGTCTGATAAGGTTATGTATGTGTGCCATGGGCTTTCTGCTTCCAGTGGTGAAAATCTGGAAGTTGGAGCATCTCCAACCACTGACTGATTCTTGCTGCTTGGGTAGTGCATAGATCCATCAATAGAACATAAAGCCTGGTTAACCATTAGCATAGCTGTATTATGGCATGGTGGCTGAGCATGTCTAATGTGACATGGTTAGTCTGCAACTGTTCTTGCTAAAGGTATATCAGGTGTCTCTGAAATAAGCAGGACGTAATACTTACTGGTGGCTTTGATTAGGATTTTTGTCAATTAGTCTACTTATGCTGTGTTAAGTTTTATTCAATCATATTTATAGATTTAAAAGTCATATTTGCAACAGTTTAAATTTTTCCTCTCTGGTTTCAATTAAGTCTTAAGTATAAAGTTTGAAAGTTTATGATTTCCATCTTAATCCTGTTACGTATTTCTAGTCTACCATTCCCAGTGCCTAAAAAGAATAGATTGCTCAGTCTGAAAAGCATATTAAAAATTTATTGCTGCCATTCATTTTTAAGGACAAAGAAATGTATGCTCTGACTGGTTGCCATAAGTTCATCAACTGCTGTATTGGCATCATCATTTACCTGCTCAGTCACTCTGTGTTTTCCCCATTTTGATCTTCAGTGCAGGTGTCCTGGTTTCTGTGCAGCACTCAAAACAGCTTCTGGTTTCTGAGCGCCTTTCACTGCTATCAAGAATAGCACTTGCAAAGGATTCATGCACCAACCACAAAAATATGGCAGTTTCTGCAGAAACATGATGGTCCTAGAAAAGGAGTGTGCCCCAACTGCCCTTTGAGACATGGGCAGCACAGCAACCTAGAGCACTGACACCCTAAGCTGAATACCTTTGATGCCCATCTTCCTTCTTTCTGGAGTTTAATTGGCTTGTTTTGTCTCTGTATGATGTTCTGTCATCAACAAATGGAACTTGCCAGCTCCACAGCCCTTGCTGTATAGCTGCAGGGTTCCTGCTTAAAGTGTAAAATCCCAGTGAAGTACTCCTACAGCAATGTATTTTAAGGAGCTGTTTCAGTCTCGTGTTATGTTTAGTGTTGTGTTCAGTGACAACAGCTTGTTTTTTGGTAGGAAATTACCTCACCATTACTTACAAAGATGGGCAAGACTGAAGACACTAAAGGAGATCATCCTGATACAGTATTGCTTCCCGATGAGACATTGCAATTTTCTCCATGATCAAGTCTTATTTGAACAGCAAATTATTGAAATCCTAGCTTCTTTTTGTGTACTGTGGCTGAAATGGGGTCCTCTCATTTTTACCTTTACAGAAATAAATGGAGACAATCTCTTGCTTCTATTACAATAATAAAGACTAATAAAATAGGTAACACCTCGTATGAGTCATCCACTTGTACTGATCAAGGTTTGTTCAACTGAACAATGTTGGGACAGATATGTAGTGCTGTCATTTGTATCTTCATTTTTCCAACAAGCTAGTATGGTTGCACCTGAAATTTAAACTTTGTTCTTAAGACTTTACACTGAAGCTTTTACTTGTGAAATCCTCCAGAAGCAGTAGCTAAGACACACAGTTGTGTGAGACACTGCTAGCTCTAAGCCGAAGTGTTAACCGTTAAGCTGAGTAGCTGTATTGTGTGGATTTAGCAAGATTGTGTAAACTTGCATGCCTTACTAATCGCCAGTCTCTGGAGGAGGGACCGAAAAGGGAACGCAGGGAAGAATAAAAGAAATGTCTTGCCACAAGGAAGATAGCAAGACAAGGAGAATGCTACTGGCATGAGGTCAGCAAAATTTTCCAATAACTAGGGTAAAGGCAAAAGTGGCGGGGGAGATCATGACCACCAACTCAATTGAGGAGCTATACAAATTACACCCCAACCAGTTTCTAGGAGCTTGTGTGCTAATTTAAATATGTGTAAGCAATAGCAAGTGATACAGTAATCACCAATCACTGAATGTAAATTTGGGTGGATTTTTTTATTGTTTTGCTAATCATGTAATAATATGCTGTAGCTTTTGTACCAAGCTAAGCTAGCTTTGGGGGATACCACCTACCTTCTGGCTTTGAGCAAACCTGCAAAAAAAGGAATACCTCGACCCTGTGTGAATACTGGCCTTGCGTACCAGGTAAAGATCCCACTTTTCAGGTCAACATTTTGGCGACACAGCTGGGACAGCCTTAAGGCCTTCCCTGGATCATTTTACTGTTCCCAGCAGTGGAGGATTGGACAGGACAGGACTCCAGCACGCACCTACCTCTTGTTTGGGAACTCTGGATCCCCTCCGGCACTGGGACAGTGACACAAAGGTGCAATGCCTACTAGAGATATTTCTGGGACAAAGGGGGGAGATCTTGAAGTTTTGGGTCAAAGTGCGCTTTTTTGACCAAAAGTTTCGGGTAAAATTAACGTATTATTGGCCAGGGGAGTCAACTGACTGGGGGTCCGGAGGAATTGATGTACACGTAAGTCACGCAGTAACGCTCGGCAGGGGGCTTTAATCGACCAGCAAGCTTGGAACGGTGTGCAGTGGTAGATTATTAAAGGTCCGAACTGATAGGGTATGGTAATTGGGTAATATAATTTGGTGAACAAAAATGGGTACAGCATCTACTGCAACTGCTCCTTGTATTCCCCTGGTGTGTATTTGAAAAACTGGAAAAAGTTTGAAGATTTTGGCTAAAGAAAAAAAAAGATATTGTATCTAGTGGTGGCCACAGTATTTTTTGAATGATGGGGGAAAATGGCCTGAAGGGGCGTCTTTGAAATATAATACTATATTGCAATTGATGCTATTTTGTAAATGTGAAGGGAAATGGGATGAAGTGCCATATGTGGATGTATATCCTTTTATGACTGTAAGTAATGGTTATGGTACTAGAAGGAAATGTAAGTTGTTTCTCCATGATCAAGTTTTATTTGAACAGAAAATGAATTAAATTTAATTAGTTGAATTAATTAAAGTTGCCTCCCGTGAAGAAGGGAATGGGATTTATATATTGGATACTGAACAGGAGGGCAAGAAAGATGAGAAAACTTGTTGCATTGTATGTGGGACGGGGAAGAAGGCATTAGAGCCTCCTCCTCCAGAGGAGAATCCGTCTTTACTAGCTCCACCAGTCCTTTCTCGAAAGGGAAAAGAATAGGGAGGGGCTGCGGAATGGGCTGCTTTTGCTGACATAAGGGAAGGGAGTGAAACTTTTAGTCCCATTGCTCACCGAACATGCAACCCTTCAACAGGCCATGAGGACAGGTGGCCCATTGTTTGTACATGTCCCATTTACTACTTAAGATTTATTAAACTGGAAGCAGTCTGTGCGTTCGTATTGAGAGAATCCAGAGAAGGCTCACCAGTTGATGAAAACAGTAATACTGACTCATAACCCAAATTGGGAAGATATGCAAGCGTTGTTGGATGCCTTATTCAGAGTTGAAGAGAAATGAACGGTATTGGAAGGGACTGGGAAAGAAAAAGAAAGGACAGATATCCCCAGAAGTGATGAGCTTAGTATTCCTACTAATTAAAAACTGGACTGGGACCCAAATACAGCACAGGGAATGATGGTTATTCAAAGGTACAGGGACATAATATTAATATGGAATACAAAGCAGGGTGCCAAAATGAAAGAACCTATCTGTAGTATATGAAATTAGGCAAGGGCCTGATGAAACCCCATCTGCATTCTATGAGCAGATACGAGAGGCAGCATGCAAATGGACAGATTTTGATCCAGATGAAAGTAAATTAAAATAAAACCTATTATGTAACTAATAAAAATAGCTTACAAAGTCTGTAACAATAGGGAAGATACGGAAAATAAAGAAAATAGTCGAGCCAAAGCAGAAACACCTGTGCTGGCAGTGGCACTTGCTGGTGCTTTAGCAAATAATCGTGTGGGTATTGGGGGC